AAGATGAGTTACAGGACAGGGAACACAGGCAGAATTGTTCTGGGTAATGATACAGCCAGTATTCCAGCCTGTAAATGCCTGGGGAAATTCAGCTGGCAAAACCTGGAGAAAGCCCGAAGGGGTATTAGCATGCACTTCGAGGTAGAAAAAAGTGGTTCTGTGCACAGAGTCAGGATAGAGCCAAGACAGCAATGTCACTGACATTTCTAACGTAAAGCTCCACAGATATTCATGCCAGAGCAGGCATCCCAGGAGGCACTGATCTGAATCAGAAATAGATGCAGCTTATTTTAAATGGAAGTTCTACAAGTACATCCATTCTTTTCCCTGTGTGACGTAGGTAGTTTTTCCCCATTTATTGCAATACTGAGAAAATAACACACATCTTCACTTTGTTCAACCCACCCTCATGAATGCTTTCAACTGATGCACATTTGTAATCATGATTAAGAGGCATGGATATTTCTCTATTTACATGATCCAAAGTTTTCATCATTCAATACATACAGTCCTTGATCACTTACCAGCTGAAGTTGTATTTTTTCCCAGAAATATTCAAGTCAGTTTGTATGCCCAAGGAGATTTTTGGGCATAGCTAAGGACATATCTGGCCAAAAGACTGAATCTCTTGGCAGATCATGCTACTATACAAGGAAAACAATGCAGCTCCTTGATTTAAGAATAAAGTTCTGGCTATGTAAAGGACCGATGTATTAAATCAGGAAAGCTTTGCATACTCTGCCTATTACTTAATCCATAATAGCTTGAATGGGGAAACCTCCAGGTTTGTGGTGATTAGTGAGAGTGTGCACAGAAAATAAAGAAGAGACTTTTTTTTTTCCTTTAATTTTTACATTCTTAGTGGGAAGTGAAAGAATAAGAGATGGAATTTCAGAAAGAACTGTTGCATTCTCTGGGAAGGAATTTCGTAGCCTTGTTTTTCTGTTCCTTGCTTTAACAAGTTGACCCTGCAGCTGACAGTCTCATCATGCCTGCAGAACTTATCTGTGGAAGAATGTTATGATCTCCTGACAAGAAATTAATTCTTAGAAAACTTGATCAAGTGCCAAAAGATCACTGTCTAGGGGAAAATGCAATGTTCTCTGGGGAAGCAGTATAAGAAGTCTTGGATAGACAGCACTGACTTTGTCTTCGAGTAAGAAAGTCATGAGTCTGCTGAGTTTTCATTCTTTACCAAACAGAAATGCAAGAAAATATTCTCAGTGTGAAAAAAAATTCTCATAAAAAGTAAGTCTGTGTCTTTCATAACTGTTAAGAAAATGCTGATGTATTGGAAAATGATGTATCAATCCCACAGGATCTTCAAAATTATTTGTTCTGATTAATATCAGTTTACTTGAGTCTAAGAGTACATATCAGTTGTTCAAGCAAAGAAAAACTGAATTGATACTGAGATTGTCCACCAAAAATTTCTGAGCAGGCCTAGGACACATTTTAACAAATAATTTTCTTCACTCATCCACAGTATTTATAAGAAGGACAAGGTATTCTTAATTTGTTTCTAATACTCAGGTAGATGAAGAGATCTGACGTATATAGAATGAAGTGCATCTTTTGTTGATGTTTATGATGCATTATCCCAATTGTTGATTCTGTAGTAACTGCAGAATGATTTGAAAACACCGTTTTTATTCATATATTTATCTTGATATATCCAAGGTAATGGATGCCTTTAAACATTCTTGTGTTGCTGCAAAGTGCTTTGAAGCACTGATGCAAAAGGCATTAATAAAATGATTCTGTTATTACTTCAGCATTCTATACCGCAGATCCTGTGGAAGATTTAGGAAACAGGGTGGTGCCACAACAACTTCTGATAATTTAGATTCTTCTTACATCACAGTTTCTACACTAAAATAATTTCTGAATTATGTCCATTATGTTGGACTTAGTATTTTATTTAATGTACAGAATATCATCAGCTGTTCATTATAATACTTCGCAGGTAATTAACATTTTGTCTGACAGCTTTCCTTTCTCTTTTCACCCTTCAGTGTGGACTGTTGCCAGCATTCACTGCTATGCACATATCAGTTTACATGGGCATGGATTGAGATTTGTACAATGCATCACTATGCAGCTATGTACAATGAGGTATAAAGATTTTTGTGAAACAGCAACAGGAAAATTCTGGGCTGGAAATAGACAGAAAAATTAGAATCCAGAAAGGGCAGCCTTCAGTCCTCAAGTCAGTCCCCAAGCACAGCAGTGCTCCTTATCACTTAAGTGAAGAAAATAACTTGATATACAAGAAGTAGCATACACACACATACTGCAATGCCTCAGTTCAGAAATTCCCAGCATATGACTGTATTGGGTTTGCATGGCAAGGTTTTGGTAGCTGGGGGGCTACAGGGGTGGCTTCTGTGAGAAGCTGCCAGAAGCTTTCCCAACAATCTGGTAGAGCCAATGCCAGCTGGATTCAAGAAGGACTCAGTGCTGGCCAAGGCTGAGCCAAACAGTGATGGTAGCAACGCCTCTGTGATTACATATTTAAGAAGGGGAGGATTACTTGCAGTCAGAGAAGAGAGAAGTGAGAATACATGAAACAAATAAGCAGGGACAAAGGTCACTGAAGTAGGAGGGGTAGGAGCAGAGATTCCCCTGCAGCCCATGGTGAAGACCATGGTGAGACAGGTGTCCCCTTGCAGCCCATGGAGGTCCATGGTAGAGCAGAGATCCACCTGCAGCCTGTGGACTAGTCTGCATTAGAGCAGCTGGATGCCTGAAAATGTCTGTGACCCCACGGGAAGCCCATGCTGGAACAGACTCCTGAAAGGACCTATGGACCCATGTAGAGAAGAGCCCATACTGGAGCAGGTTTGCTGACAGTGTTTGTGACCCCACGGGGGACCCACACTGGAGCATTTTGTTCCTGAAGGGCTGCACCCTGTGGAAGGCACTCATGATAGAGCAGCTCATGAAAAACTGCAGCCCGTGGGAAGGACCCACAATGAAGAAGTTTGTGGAGGTCTGTCTCCTGTGGGAGGGACCCCACACTGGACTAGAGGAAGGACTCCTCTCCCTGAGGAGGAAGCAGCACCAAAACAATATGTGATAAACTAACCATAATCCTCATTCCCTATTCCTCTGCACTGCGGACAGGGAGGTGATAGAGAATCAGGAACAAATTCAAGCCTGGGGAGGAGGGAGCTGTGGGGGAAAGGTGTTTTTAAGATTTGCTTTACTTCTCATTAACCTACTCTGAATTGATTGGTAATAAATTCAATTAATTTTCAAGTTGAGTCCATTTTGCCCATGATGGTTATTGGTGAGTGATCTCTCCCTGTCCTTATCTCGACCTGTAAGCTTTTAGTTATATTCTCTCCCCTCTCCAGTTGAGGAGGGAAATGATAGAGCAGCTTTAGTGGGCACCTGGCATTTAGCCAAGGTTAAACCATCACAATGATTCATAATATTTAGGAAACATAAATACTACCTGTTGCAGTCCAAAATTCAGATATCAAAAGAAAAGGAACTGCTGGGGTAAACAGGAAGCCTTGGGCCACAGAGACTGGGGAAAACCCCACCGTCTAAAAGACCAGACAGGATCCATTGATATTCATTTCTTGTGGATTGTCCTGATCTCCCCCAGCAGGATATGGAGAGACTTCACTGTGATGTTATCAGTCCCTGCAGATATCCCATTGTTTTCTCCCCTCCCTGTGTAATCCTTTTTTCCGGAAAATCGACCATTCTCCCCCAATGTAATACTGCTTACTGGAAATATCAATCCTTTTTCCTCCAAATGTAAATACTGGATCAAGAAATGTAAATTCCTTTTTTCCCTTATGTCACCCCTGCTACTGGAAATGCTAACAGACTGTGGAATCCCCTATTTGGCATAACCCTGCCTCCTTATTAACACGTTAAGCCTCTCCCACCCTTAAATAAGTGCTTTGCGTGTTCAATAAAGTATCCAGTTTTTACCCTCATATCTGGGATCGTGTTAGCTTTATTAGCTTTATTGGACCCTTACAACTATCTCTCCCATAGATTGCTTGCCTTGTATGATAAAAGCCCTAAAGACTGGCTGCAGCCCCTGGGTTGAAGGTCTTTGAGTCTTTGCATTTTGTTCAGCATACCTCTCACCAATACCCTACACTGAGAACTATAGCATACACAACCGTTCATTCTCCAGTTTGACCACCTTTGTAGTTCAGACACATGAAACTACTTTGATTCCAGAACAAAGCATGAATTTACATTTGCAGTATGCTTTAACTACCCTGACGCTTCAGTCCACTGGTTCTGAAATCTAGTATCAATATATACCTTTATTAATACCTTTAAACATCTAAAAAGTGCTCAAATATATACACTAACCATTGAGAATTTCAAAGGCTTCTGGATACTCTAAATCATATGGTATAGAAAACATAGGTCTTTTCCTCAGTAAATATGCTAAGAATATGTATGCCTAACATATAATTAATGAACACATATTCATGCAAAATTCTTTTTCTTTCTATCCAGCTCCCAGCTAAGCTAGCAGGCACATCCCTAGAACCATTCCTCTTAAGGTTTATTACACTATTTGTAATACTTCAGATTAAAAATGCATTCCATCCTCAGGTCTCTTCATTATAATATAATTGTTACATAATCCACATTACCATTAGGAGCACAGTATGAAAAGTAGTTTCAAAGTAGCATTTGTCTGTGGGATTCATAGACTGAAATATGCTTATGATGTATGTTTATTTGCTCAAAGCAATTTGCTAAGGGTTTTGAACATTACTTAAAATCCCTAAAAGCTAAACCACAAAGCTATTCTTTTGATTTGACTTTTTCTTTGCAAAAACATGTACATTATCCTTCACTTGTTCATCTGAACTGGATGAAAGATGAGAGTATTCAAAGTCTTCTGCCTTCCCTCTAGCACAGTCAAAGTTCCATCTGTTCCACGGACTGACGTGCTTAAGCTTTATCATGGTGGACAGTTGCCTCCTGGCTGGCACATCACTCTTCTGGCACTCAGAGAATGAGGTCATAAAAACTAGGTACTGATGCTGTATAGAGGGAAGCTGTATTAACTTTTATCCTCTCACTACAGAATAAGAGAGAACAGCAACATGCCCTCAGCAGCAGCATGAACAGAAGCACATCCTGAGAAACACTTTTTTTCTTAGGAACCATCTTTCAGAAAGTTTCCCAGACTGAGCCATGCCTATGCCAACTATGGAACATCATAAAAAAATGAAATCCAAATCAGTTTACTAAAATTTAAAAAATCAGTAAACTATTTTTTTACTAATCTCAAACAGTTTTTCTTTATTTGGCTTATTTTTCTATTATTATTTAAATTGAAAATTGGGGGGCACTCTGATCCCAGATGTGTTGGAAAGTGTAGTTGTTTATCAGAAGGTATTTACAGGAAAGTTAAAGATATTAAAACAATTAAATCAGATGAACTGCAAGTCAGACGATGGATCTTAGACAAATTAAGGCACAACAGTGAATGACTTTCCCAAGGTCATGTAGTGCATCAGCTGCAGAGCTGGGACTAGAATCCTGCTCTCCTGAAACACAGCCTAATCATACATTTCTCAATAAAAAAATTTGCAAATAAGATACTACATGCATAAAAATTCTGTTTATGTATGGTATTTCCTTAGTGAGCAGGGGTAAATATAGGATCAATTATTTAAGAGCTTGCTTAATAAGGAGAGTAGGTTTCAGTAATTACTGAGGCCAACTAGTGGGTTGAAGGTCTTATAAACTATACAACATTTTCTCATTGTACTACGGAAGATGTTCTTGATTAGCCCTCTTGTGATTTGTGTGCTGTGCCTCTCTGATAATGAGTAGGGTGAATGCACATGGTACTGATTGACAAGTGGTTCTTACATGTAGTTCTTTAAAGTTGAATTAATTTCATTTCTGCCAGAAAAATTTTTTTTTTCATGTTTGTGTGAATCTTAGTGGATGTTGGTTCAGATGATTTGCTATTTAAGTGGTAAATTTAAGCAAATGGTGTTTACATTTCTGTGACAATAAAAACACGTAAGAGAGATATCTATGATGATCAAATTATTTTCATTTTTGTCCAGTTTATAAGTGTTATGTATTCATTGTTATGCTTTGAAGAAAACCTGTAAAAAGCAGAACCTCTGAATTCATCCAAAGCTTTTCTGAGCATGCTTATGCAGAAAAAGGCAGTGGAAAATTCTTTGGTTTGCACCACAATAAAACATGTGGCAATTTCAAATGTAGGTAATAGCAGTTTCCAGGAGACCTCAGTAAAAGAAAGTGATGGTCAGACATCAAGTCTCTTATTCCAGACAGAACTGACCCATAGGTGGGAAGTTTACAACCATGTAAAGGTTGAAATCCATTAGTTACCGTTAAATTTGCGTCAACTGTTGTTCTCCGTCAAGGGATCTAGAATGAAGTCTTAGTAAGTTTGTATCCAGCATATTGAATTGCATCTGTTTTTGCTGCGTTTCTGTCTCTCATACACAAGACACCACATCACATAAGAAATATCAACAAAAGAAATGACAGAAGGGCAGTATAGGAGACCTGCAATAAACATGCTGTTCACATGACCTGAATCTATCCCCTCTTTCTTTAAAATAGAACCCAACAAAGCACAGGACATTTCCTGGGGATTAATGGTCAGAAGGAAGTGTTGTTCTGGTGAGATGTAGCCAACAGCCACTAGGTTACATGGGTCACTCATTCTCCAGAAGTGTTCCTTTGTAAAGGTAATACGTATAAACATTAATGACTGAAAAGGAACATAGTTTACCCATTTACAATGTATGGGTAGTAACATCTAATTTTTTCCTTCAGTTTTCCAAATTATATTGGAATTTGCTAGGGTGTGTTTTTTTAATTTCTTATTTCATGTTCCCTTCCTCATTTTGTGCTGCAAAACTTGTGCATAACCTGGAATGACCAAACATCTCCCCAGCTCTAAGAACTGAGACGTCATACATAGCACTTTTCTTCTTATTGTCTTTTCTACTCCTGACAACCTCTGCCAAAAACAACCTTTAGAAACTATTAACATGCTATGGGTAACACTGCAAAATTTTCACATGCTATGAGTGTCTCACAGTTCTAAAAACTGGATGCTTTTTTAATTTGCCTTTTCTTACAAAAAGTTTGTGCCAGTGGTAGCATGTGTTCCACTGCCATTCACTGTATGTGTGGTGAGGTGCTAAAGATTTTTAGGATTGTCTGATCTTTGCAACTCCTTTTTATATTTTTCCAGAGATTATTATTCTACAACTGCATAGAAACATAGGAGAAAATGGAAAGGGAAAAGGGCAGGGGAAGGGGAAGGGGAAAGAGGAGAGGGGGGAAAATGTGCAGTTTTCTCAGATAACTAACATGCTTAGCTATCTACAGTAAAATGCTACTGGTGATTTATTCTGCTTCTTTGCCACCAGGCAGCTACATACTAATATCCTGACCTGTCCTTGTCATCTTTTTTCCTCAATACAAGCAAAGTAGCTTGTCTTGCTGTGGTTCTACTCAGGATAGTCACTGATGGGTTTAAGTTACGCAAATACTATAAGAATACCAACCCCAGCTTTATTCTTTGGTCAGCTGATCCATTCTTCCCATTATACATGCAAGAAAGCTTTGTCTTGCCTAACTGGACATCTTCTGTTAAATTATCTATGTCTAGCCTGGCTTCTCAAAGGTCTCTTCACTGACAATGAAAAGAAAAAGGGCATTTTTAAGCTGTAATTTATTTTGTCTTGGGTCAAAAACTGCTTGCTGCTTTCAGTCTTGCCTTTGAAATGTCTATTTCTTCCCAGTGATTATAAGCAATTTACAGTGACCATTTCAGATTACCAGACAACTCTTCTGTAGTTCAGAATAATCTGATATCTAATGTCAGACGACTGTTCTGGTCGGAATTCAGACAGATGTCTCCTTAGGTATAAACTTACATTCTATCCAGCGCTTGTATACACCAAGTATTCCTGATGAAATTAAGGAACTCAGAATCCCAAGGTTTTTAAATTATCCATATTGGGCTGTGTCTTCCACACCTTCAGGAAATACATGATTCTGGAACATCTGGATTTTGTCAACTATATCTTCTGTTTTCCATAAGTATCGGATGCCCTCAACTCCACTATAGCAGGAAAAAATATGTTGTATTTCATGCACAGTTTCTCCAGGGAGACTCTAGTCTCTTCCTTCTCCTATGCTGACCCCTCCTTCTGGCTCTGATGGCTACCTTCCAACAAAAGCAGAGAAAGTTAACTCAGTTACATATTAACCCAGACCTGGAATTCAAGAACATATTCCTTAGGCATCTTAAGTAAGCTCCTTTTCTGAGACCTGACTCTTTTCAAAGGATAATTAATAAAGGAAGCCTAAAATTTTAACCTGGACTCTTATATTTATGTTGAAAGTCGATGATGTGAGAAAATGCGGTAGTTTGATAAATTTTGGTTCTGTTTCCACAGAGTTATGGAATTCTTAGTGTTGGAAGGGACCTCTGGAGATTATCTAGTCTCTTTTCTTGAAGAGATTTTCAGAATATATCCTTGGTATATGCTAACAGCTTTGCCAGTGCAACAGTGAACGTATTCAAAGGCCAAGGATCTGGGGGAAAAAAGTAGTTTAGGTGTCCTGAGGAGCCTCACAGGAGGACTATGGAAGACTGGAGGTCCAGCAATGACCTGTGTTGATCCTAAACCCTCCACAGGGTCTTGGGGTCTGTCCTCACTCCCGCTGGGTGGATGAGTGGTGTGGGATGATGGATAGAGTTAAACATAGAGGGGATTCAGAATTTTAAGGTAAAAAGCAGTTGCAACTCCCTGGATGGACTGAGGTCAACATGCTCTCCAGTACAATGATAAACATCTGCTCAGAGAAAGAGAACGGAGTGTGGAACAAAGCGAAGACTACATGACCCCCTCCATTCTAATCCCAGCAGAATAGGAGAACTTTGCGGAACTAAGACTGTACAGTGCCTGTCTGATAAGCGAGAATCAAGATGTTCTGCTGATGAAGCCAACAACCACGTTGAACCCCCTCCTCAGGTGCCAAAACACAACAACCACCTCGCTCCCATTAGATTTTTTCCAGTTCATTCTGAATTAATCCAGTCAAAGCTGGGCAGCTGTAGTCAAGGTCTTGCTTACCTGAGAGGTGCTCTTAGTCAGGCAGTAGCCCATGATATCTCGTGATCCTAAATGTCATCCAGTAATAAACAGCCTCTTGACAAAAAAAAAAAATAAATAAATGATCCATCCTCCCTCCACATTCCTGGACCACAGAAAGAAATTATCCAAATCAAAACCATGATTCTGCAGTCAGCAGTACTTAAGGGGATACAGTGAACATGAATTGTTACATGACTTACTGAAAAAATAACTCTGATACAACAACTCTGTATTGAATAGATCCTTAAACTTCTTTATTTTCCTTACAAACATTTTGACACTTATAAACATTTTGCATGATGCTAAGTAGTGTACATTTGCTGGAGGCTAAGTTACAACTTCTGTAAATTTTTAATATTATTAGGCAAAAATCCAAGTCCCCACAGTCTAGTATATGTAACCTTTGAAGAAGTTCAAATCCAGTCTATCTTGAAATGATTCTGCTTTGCACTGTCTCTGCTGGCATGGTCAGAAGGTGGAAATGATCAAGTTAATGTGTTATAAGAAATTCTCCACCTAGCTAAAACATAGTGATGTACCGTATAAAAACTCAGAGTCAACAGCAAGGCATAAAAGACTGTAATGATGCCCATGGAAAAGTAAAGTAAGCTGTTTCCCACACTCTGCTACCATCATTAAGCCAACTCGCCAGGACTAGATCCCCACCAGGATGCAATGATAAAAAGGGCTAAATATTGCATTTGTAGCAGACGATTCACAGAAAATAACAGCTGGAAGACATGCAAGCTCTGCTGCACTGATCTAAATTACTCTGAAGGATTTCTGAGGATTACATGGGTTAAAGAATCTGAGACTGATTAGTCTTCTTGACCCTGCACTGACATAGGAAAATATCAGAGGTGGACACGGGTTTTGGAGAGATTGCCCTTGACCATGGACAGAAGAAGACTAGCAAGGGCCGTAAGCAGCCTGCATAGTCTGGGAGTCATCTTTTTCCTAATGCCCTTGATAGAGAAGCTGGATGAAACACCATCGAAGGAATTCCTCTCTGCATTCTTTCCAAAAGCCTATCCAATCCTGTGCAACCAGTTATTTAGGTAAATCTAACTACATGAGATTTTGAACAGATCAAGAATAATTTCTTTAAAATGTAATGAACAGCTGTAGTATCTTTCTTAATCAAATGGAGGCAAAGCTTTCAGAAAACACCTTATTTGACACAGAAAAAGAGTTATGCAGAATACTGGATTTAAGGCTTGTCTGCCTAGGTTGTCTCCCTTGAAGTAATCTACTTTTCAGTGTTTTCTTGTTTTCGTTGACATTACCCTTATTTAGACACAAGCGCTAGTCTGTAGCAGTGTGGTGGGGGGAAACAGTTTTTCCCACTGAAGTTATAAAATGGTAAAACCCCAGGGGGTGGTGACCCTTGAGGTTTTTACCCAATGAGCGCTTCTGCAAAATATAAACATATCACAAGCAGAACGGAAGAGAAGGTAGTTGTAGTTGTTGTAGAAGAAGTAACCATGTTGTAGAACCACGAGGAGGGGGCTCGGAGCCCCTTGGGGCTCTGGTTCCCCCAGCCCCTGGCAGGGGCGCTACACGGACTTGGAACGGTGTAAGACTGGGCTAAGCACCTGTAGTTAGAAAACTGGGGGATGCTTCTCCACCATCAGCAACAGCAGCAAGCAGTGGCAGAACTACACTGACCAGAGAAACGGTGGCAGAGAGCCATAAGAGATAAGACCAAGCAACAGCGACAGGCATGCAGCAACACAGAGAGAACTCCTGGAAGGAGAGAGAGAGAGAGAGCCAGCAGCAGAGAGAGAATTAGGCTCTACAGAGAGAGAGAGAAAGTTGGGGAAAGAACTGAAACAAACCCCAAACTCCTTGGAGACCCCTCCTAAAAAAGAGGAGGATGATGTACTCTTACTTGAAAGAGTCTTAAAGTGCTACAGCACTGCAGAAAGGAGCTGAAAAGCTCCGAGAAGGAATGCGGAGGGGGTGACCTTGGCCCCCCCGCTGCTTGAGACAGAGCACAGAGCTCTGCAAAGGGGACTTGAATGCCCTGAAGATACAGACCATCACGAAGACCCCTGTACTTTGTGGTATGACGTAGTGAAGTGACCCTTGTCCCGGTGAACACATCCTACGGAAGAGAAGACCCTCGCTTGGAGTCGAGTGGCTGAGAGGGCTTGGATACCCCCTCATGTGTACTGGCAGAGATCCAGCCACAGCTGCTGCATGGAAGAGCGAAACAGAGAGACTGCTGCCCTAGAGAGACTGCTGCTCTGAGAGCGGAAAGAGATCATTTCCCTCTTCTCTCCTGGACCTTTATTTGGAGAGGAGAAGAGATTTGATCCATTGTAAATACTTTTATGTCAAGGTAGAAATACTTAAGATTGTATATAATGTATTGTAGTATTTATTTTGTACAGTCATTGTAATATATAATCCCTTCCCCCATTTTGAGTCCTGTGTGGTGTCTGCAAAAACCATCTCACACTGGGTTGAGATGTGGGAGGGGGTTTAGACTAGGGAATTGGATTTTGGGGATCTCAAACCATGACAAGCAGCTTTCCTTGCCTACTGCTTCCGGTTTCATGTTCCTTTCCCTTTGATCACTGCTGCTAGCAGTTACCTAATAACAATTTTAGAACAATCAATCAGCAGTCTGTGCAAGCAGATAACTTACCAAACACTTGAACCCTGTAATTGTGTTCTGACCTCGGGTTTACTAGAGGTTAGAGTGATGATTCTTTGCAGCAATGCCATGCTCCATTGTTCTGTAAATGCAGTTCACCTGCCTAAGGTGAATTTTACTGCAGAGGAAAGAAAAATCAACTGTGGCCACATAAAACCTAGCAGTACACAGAAGAGTCAGTGACAGCATAGGGAATGTTGGCAAACAAGGCACAGTATTAACTAAACCAAAGAAAGCTTGAAGAGGGAAGAACTGTCTGAGGAAACTGTATAGGAGACTTAACAGTCCTTATGCTGACATTGCAAGAATGTGAAAGGCTATAAAATACCTCCTTTTCCTCACTTCAGATTTTTGGAATATGAATTTAAGAAGATTATTAAAGGATTTGCAGTGAGATGCTTTCTCACTCCAAAATCCCTCTTGTACCCTGAACTTACAAATAAATGCTGTCTTTCCTGTAATCAAATAAACCAATAGAATTGTTTGTATAGCAGTAGGTAATTCAAGTGTGATTCCTACTGGCGAAATTACATTCAGTGGATACTGTCTTCAATCAGGACAGCAGTGTACCTCTGGCTCATGTCAATACAGTCAGTGGAGATCATAACTGCTATTCCTCTGACTTAGAGATGACCTCTTTGTTCTCCAGATTCAGGTTTGTTTAATTGGCACATGGAAGTCTAGTGATGTTATGGGACATCTTGTATACTTCAGCCATCCTCCAGCTGCCACACTGGACAAACCACAGGATCAGAGTTATATCAGACAGCCCTGTAAGAGTGTTTCACACAGCCTAGGAGATCTCCGGTAGCCCCAGTCACCAACAGCTAGGGAGGAAAGCAGATGTTAGTCCTCTTGGGTTGGTCAGGTGGCTACAGGAGAGGAACACCACAAGGCAACCCTGAGTACAATGTTTAGTAGGCTGTGAAGTGAAAAAGGAGAGAAATGGTCTCTGACAGGATGTGGAACAAATATATTAGTTAAATTTCAATCAGTTATAAAAGCATGTTCAAGCTATGAATCTTGAATTACCAGTAGATGCCAAAAAGCAGGGAGAGGGATTGAGAGAACAGATGAAATGTGGTCAAACATAAATTACCAGAATAAACTTAAATCACCAGAATACTGATCTTAGCAGAAAACACGGCTGTTAATAAAGTTTTTCTCCAGAAGAAACTAGGACATCTGGCACTGAAGATGTAAATGGTGTCAGGAGCATGGAAAAATCAGCAAATACACATGAGAAGACAGAGAAATGGTAAAATGAAGATATCGAAAGCTCCTTGGAGTATGCCACCAAAAGCCTGTTTCCTCTTGGTGATTATCTGTAGCTGTGGACTTATTAAAGAACAGAGAAGCTACAAATACGCAGTGGGTGATCTTACAGGCCAGGTCCCTCCATACATTTTCTAAGGCTCTGTTCTTCAGGAGAGAAGTGCTAGTGATTTCCATCTGAAATGCTTCTTACTTGAGTTGAATGTCATGGACTACAACATCTTGTACAAACTTACATTTCTCTGACAAAGCTCCTTTTCAGGCATTCTCTGTTCTAATTGCCAATGGATATTTTATTTAAAAGGCTGCAGTACCAAGTGAGATGAAGCATCATCTTTCCCAATGCTGCACACTAACACAAAACCAGAAGCAATGGACACTAAGTTGTGTCAGATAAGTAACATGCACTAATAGAATTTAATCAAAATCAGTAAGGACAATGGATATGAGCAACTGCAAGCATTTGAATTGCATTTTCACAGTAATGTAGTTTAAAATTATTGAATTCAATTAGTAATTCAGTATGATCTTCAGTCGTATACACCTCATATATCTTATATCTATGTGGCAGATATTGAGCAAATTTTGACTCACATCTAGGAGTCTTGTTGATGTGAAATATCATACAGGCTTGATGCCAGATGTGAAATTATCCTTATTAGGTGTTTTTCTTTAACAGTTGTGTTTTACCACACTAGTTAGAGCAGATGGAGCATAAATCTTTTCTCTCCTTTTCTTTTTTGTACATACATCCTTTTAAAATCCAGTTACCATAACAACTTGATTTCACTGTTTTTGTTAAATCATGTTTTTTTCATACCTAGAACTTTTGTCTGGCTCACAAATAAACATAACTAATTTTTTTAGTTAATTATTTGTTGTCAGAAATCTGTCAGCGACTTCTCTTTGTGGGGAATGAGAGAAAAGAAGTAATGTTTTTTGTTTGGCACGCTTAGTATCAGCAATAAGTAGACAGAGCGGTGACATAAACCTTCTACAAAACAATAAAACAGAAGGACTCCCAGCAGAAAGCTTGAGAATCTCAAACTGTACTTACACAGACTTCTAATGATAATTTTTAAAGGACATTTGTTTTCATGAAAATTAAATACTACTAGTAATTTTACAACACTAGAGCTTTGTATATATTTCCCTCTTTGTTTCAATGGGCCAATTCAAATCTTCTTTTATGATAACATAAAACCATATTGTAGTAAAATACCTTCCCTTCTGTCTCCTTTTTCTCTTGCTTAATATCTGTATGACTTTGTCAGGATGAAAAGAGAGACAGTGGGAGGTGTGACAAGTTAATATCTAGGAATAAAAAGGCGCTACCTAGCAACATTTCTCTGGAAACTAAATCTCATTTGTCAAGCAACTCTAAAACAGGGGTTGCATTGCCCAGGGGATTGATAATGGCATACAGAGCTTTTCACGGCAAGTCACTAAAATATAAATGCAGCCCAGGTCAGCAGCAACTGAACACTGTTAGCACCTGACAGCTGTTTAGTGGCCTGTATGAAATGCCTTGCTCTTCATCCAATTCCTAGTGGGAAGGTGGCTGCATCCCAATTAACATTAATTGGCTCCCTTATTGTTAGCTGCAGCAAGGCAACCAAGGACTGTGCAGAGCCAGGGAGTGGAGGGCTGATCCACTAGGCCAGCTGTGCCTCTAGTTAAGCCAGCCACTTTAACTACAGCATTCCCAAAAGAGTGGTACAGTCCCTGCTTAAAAGCTGGAAGCAAAGGAGCCTCAATGGTAATCCTTTGATGATCCTGTCTCAGTGGTTCATGTCTTCTGTCCTTACAGCAGGCTTTTTTCCCTCTCGAATCTTACCAAAACCATTTTGTTTGAAAACTTGAGGGATTTGGTTTTGTCCTTCCACAGGGCAGGAATTCATCAAAGGAAGTTATAACATTTATCATTCTATGTACTTTCCTCTGGACTCTGTCCAATTTGCTTACATACCTCAAAGTACAATGACCAAAACCAGACATGATGCTCTAACTGAGGCCTTACCAATGCTAACTACAGCATAGTTGTTTTTTCCCTTGCCACGTATTAATGTTTATCTAACACAACTCAAGGTATGTTTTACTGCTACAGAATCTCATGTTCACTCATGCTTTCTGGTCTGTATAACACCATGTCCCTTGAACATGTGTTTCAAGTGGTTTGGAGATTACTTCAGCTGGATGCCTAACCATTGAGGGCAAGCTTTCAGGTGCTTTCAGATGGATAACCTGACAGACCTAAACACTCTTTAGGCTCTTTTTTCTTTGTTCTGCTGTGTTCTCCTAACTCTCTGTTAAAACATGTTTTGTTAATTATCAAACCACACTTCAGGTATTGAGTATGAATAAGGCAAAGGAGGCACTGACTGTTTCTGCTCCTCCTGCTGTTCACCGTCCCTTTCTTTGCCTTTATGTCCTACTTCTGTGTCTATAAAAGTTTCCTTATCATCTTGTATGTTCCTACGTATAATACCATATCATGAAATGATTTGGGTTGGAAGGTACATCAAAGGTCATCTCATTCTGGGCTCCCAGCCATGGGCAGGGATATCTTCCACTAGATCAGGTTGCTCAGAGTCCCATCCAACCTGACCCTGAACACTTCTTGGGATGCGGCATCCACAGCTTCTCTGGGCAGCCTGTTCGGTGCCTCACCACCCCCTCAATAAAGAAGTTCTGCCTGATATCTAATCTAAACCTACACTCCTTCAGTTTGAAGCCATTCTAACTTATCCTATCACTATATGTCCTTGTAAGAAGTCCATTTTCAGCTTTTGTGTGGGCCCCCCTTTAGGCTTATACTTCATTGAATTAATGTTGTATTTTTTCTGGGGTTTACTCCGTGATATTTTTTATACTTAGTTCTATATCCTATTTCACTTTTTTGGTGGTGCCTTTATAATGTCATCAAAGAGCTTTCTATACAGCCAGGAATAGGCTATTGTTAAACTTCTTCACTTGAGTTTTGGAGGGTTTTTTTACAAGAAGATAGCTTGCTGTTGTACATTTGGTAAAACTTATTTAAATATCTTCACTGATCCCATTCCTCTTAATCCCTTAGATTAGGAACAATTAACTAAATGTCTACTATTTAGATGAGCTAAATGATAGGAACTGAAAAGGAGTTCAGGCACCATGGAAGATGGTCTAAGTAATGTCTCCAGCCTTTGGTCACTACTCCAGAAAGACGTAGGACATGTGTAGATCTTGTGCAATATCTGCCATGTTAAAGAAACTTCCTAGTCTGACCATTTATGAGACTCTCTGTCTCACTCCAAATGCCAGAGATTTTCGCTGCTCGGACTGAAGCCCCTT